TCCGGGTATAAACAGGATTTTTAGTCAGCAAAATCGCGTCGTTCTACCTCAGCTAGCGTGCGACTCTGCGCATCGGATCAAGTCCTGCGTTTGCCATTGTAGTAATTAAAAAAGAGCAATTTCATAACCGGTAAATAATGAATATGATAATGTAACTGTAGAACTCAGTAAGATCCTTTAAACATAGACATTAAACGTACTTTAAAGCTAGACAAAAAAAATTAAAACTGAATTTTAATCAACGACACTCGGTGAATAATTACTCACGATCCCGGGATTGCAGTCTGACTCGATAAACTTTAAGTGGTTGTTATAATTTCACTTCCGCAGGCCGGGGACGTTTTAATTTTAAGCTGCTGAGAAAGCCAAACTGCAGGTGAGTGCGATATGGAAGACTGACTTCCGTACACGTATGTCATGGTCAATCTATTGTGCCTTATTGACACTAAATGGTTATTAAACCAGGTTTTAAAAAGCAGACACGGAAAATTGGAACACAGATTTTTCACACAGAATTCAAATGAAGTTCAACATGCTTTTGTAATTTACACTAAATTTGCAATCGACTTACGTCAGTAAGCCTACGGAAGCCCCGGGGGGCACATAGTGATTTCGTTTTTATTTTTCACGTTTCCATTTTTGTTTTGAACGTTTTGATTTTCACTTCGCCATTTTGCTTTTCGGTTGAGATTTCGGTTTTCATTTTTTACTTTTCCTTTTTCGTTTCTTATTACCTTTTTATTCTTATCGATCTATTTCGTTTTACTCGATCTATTTCGTTTCACTTTTAAGCTTTGCTTTGACTTCTCAATTTTCCTTTTTTTTTTCATTTATTTTCAGTTTTTGCTTTACTTTTAAATTGTACAGTGAAAAAGAAAACAAAACCTAATTATAAACATTAAAAAACGAAAAACACAGAGTAGACCATCATGCTTTGCTGGAGGATCAATATGGCGGATCAAGGTGTCCATCCGGCGGAGTGCGGCTTTGTTGACCATGTTTGCCCAGGCAAAATTTTCAAATTTTACCTCCATTGATTGTTCTGAATCATAAACTGTATTTCTTTTCAACCTACCTTTTAATTCTTCTATTTAAGCTATGGAAATGGCGTTTATCGACTGGATCAGAAGGCTTGGATTGGAGGTACTAATATGCTGTAAGCTAGATCGTAATCGCGTAGACTGTGAATATTGAGGGGAAGATATTCTTTGAGCATAATGGAACGATCAAAGTATGGGCATTAAGTTTTTAACACGTGTCGGCTCTCAAGATCATATAGATTTGGAGTCACGTTTATAACTGACGGCGAAACGTCACATTCACCCAACGTCTGTCTTCTGATCCAGTCGATTTACCCGATTTCCATAGCTTAAATAGTAGAATTAAAGGTACGTTGAAAAGAAATACAGTTTATGATTTAGAGCAATCAAAGGAGGTAAAATCAGAAAATTTACAAACATCAATCGTCAACAAAGCCGCCCTCCGCCGGATCTGCCGATGGACACCTTGATCCGCCATGTTGATTTTCCAGAAAAGCATAATGGTCTAAGGTTTTGGTTTTGTTTATTTTTTGGGTTTTCGTTTTTGATGTTCATAATTAGGGTTTTTTAATTTGGTTTTCATTACATAATTTAAAAGCAAAAACAAAACCTGGAAAGTAAAACGAAATAGAGCAGTAAAAATAAAAAAAGTTATAAAAAAAAATGAAAAAGTAAACCGAAATCTCAACTGAAAATCAAAATGGCGAAATGAAAATCAAAACGGAAAAGTAAAAAATAAAAAGCGAAATCTCAACCGAAAAGCAAAATGGCGAAATGAAAATCAAAACGGAAAAGTAAAAAATAAAAAGCGAAATCTCAACCGAAAAGCAAAATGGCGAAATGAAAATCAAAACGGAAAAGTAAAAAATAAAAAGCGAAATCTCAACCGAAAAGCAAAATGGCGAAATGAAAATCAAAACGGAAAAGTAAAAAATAAAAAGCGAAATCTCAACCGAAAAGCAAAATGGCGAAGTGAAAATCAAAAAGTTAAAACATAAAGGGAAAAGTGAAAAATAAAAACGAAATCACTATGTGGCCCCCCTGAGCTTCCGTCGTAAGCAGCTGTTATGATGAAAACAATTTTAACCCATGTTTGACTAAACAGCCTTATAACATGTTTAAGCTTTGGTGTGAAAACAATCGTGGTTATAAACTAGTGATAAACAAGTATATGGATTAGCATCATAACTTGTAAAGTCTTTCAAAACGCTAACCAATAAAAGTAGAGACCTTAAAGCCGTATTACAAAATGCGGCTTTCAGTTCTGTTATATAGGTAAGGGTTTTGAAAGGCTTTGCAAGTTATGATGCTAATCCATCTACTATTTTACCACTAGTGTACACCATGATTGTTTTCACATTATGCTATATTTGGCTTATTCTTCTTATTTTTTGCTAGACACAAGATATTGGATTTAGCGCTCTCTGATTGGTTGTTAAACAAAGCGGAAGCAAACAAGTCAAAGATTAATAACAACAAGTTCAAACTTGGAAATAATCAAAATAAAAAACATGGACTGAGAAGGGAAAAAGGCTACAGCTGAAAAAGGACAATAGTCTGTTAGCTCTTATTCGTCTCCGCTTTAATTCCAAACAAGTTGTTTTTGAACACAAAATGCAATGTTTTTTTTTTCGATTTTGTAAATGTATCTCTCACACACGAAAAAGTGGTAGCTAAGCCCAGCACTACTGCAGAACACTGTCCTATAGCTTTGATAACTTAACTGTACTGATAGAAAGGCAAAACATGATTTATCCAAATCACCCACAAGAGGAGGGAGGAGATCGTGCGGCCCACGCGCTCTCGTGCGCCTTCAATTCCCGAATACTTTTAGAGCAGGGATTAGCACAGCCAGTTAAAGCACGGCTTTCTGTGCTTAAAAAAATACAGCTCTGTTAGAAAAAAAACATTGTAACAGACTTTTCCTTGTTCATCAGGCAATATTAGCATAAGTATAACCATTAATAAGAGAAAAATAACCTGATCTTTAATTTTCTGCGCCTTCGGTTTTCCTCCGGAGTATAATTCCGTACATATTTCTCAAAGCTCCTGGACGAGATGTCAGTCAGTGTGCGTCCCTTTTTTCGGGTCAATCTATTTAAATTTTTTTAATATATATATTTACCCTGGTAAAATCTCCAATTTGATATAAAAATGCAGTAATTTAGCAAATTAATAGCAGACGTCTGATGAAATACAATTAAAAGAAAAATATATACCGCAAGCAAAAATAAAATTGATTGAGAATTTATTTTCCAAAAGTTTGACTGATTGTATTTTGTAAACTAAAGAACAAATTGTGCAAGGATGTAGTTTCTCACCGAGTTGATGATGGTGATTGAAAAGGTGACCAGCTGCCAGGCAGTCTAAAAAACATGGAAATGCTTTGTTCTTTAGTATTTTGTCTAAGGTAAAACCTTACTATCAACATTCAAACTTACTCTTTTAACAATGACTGGTTAACACTGCATTGTAGACCAAGCTAAGGGTTTTCTAGCTTCTAAATGCAACTTTTTGACATCACAATCTTTTTGCTGTAGTAAAATATCAACCTAGTTGAAAGGCTATGTTCTAAACAGCTCTGACTGTTAAAAAAAAATTGTTTCAGATTTTTCCTTGTTCATTAGGGAATATTAATATCAATATAAGTAATGACTATTATTAAGGAAAATTAACCTCATCTTTATATATATAGCGCGTATTTTCTGCCCCTTCGATTATAGCTTTTCCTTCGGATTATACTTAATTCCGTCATTTTCTCAAAGCTCCTGCGCGTCACCAGGTATCAATGAATGTGCGCTGAGTAAATATTTATTCAATTTACTTAATTTATTTGGCTGAAATCTACGTGAGGAGTGATAATTAAAAAATTTTAGCACTGCTAAATATATATTTGGTATACTATAATCAGTTCAGGGCATAATGAAATAACATGATAAAAAACGGCAATTTAATTTGCCGACACCCAAAACCTACACTTAGAGGTAAGGATACGTTTCTGTGAATTTAGGAAACCTGGCAATCTGCATCAGATTCTTCTTTGGAAAACGTCATTTCCATTAAACTGTTTCGGCAGATCAAAGAAGGCGGCAACTTTTAGTAGACAATGGAACAGAGCGGCGGGACTTTTCAGGGTCACGGAATATATATGTCCGATTTTAAAGCAATTTTGTTGGTAAACGATTGAAAACCAGCATCTATTTTATGACTACATTATTATTTTAAGAAAACTATAAACTAATAGTCAATTTTTAAGTATCGGTTTTCCAGATTCCTAGCTGCTCAGTGGCCCTTTAATTTCTAGCTCTTTCTTAATGAAAACGGAAATTTTCCTCAGACAAAATGAAAAAAAAAAATGAAATTCTCTATCAACTGAACTAAACGACTTCCAGATAAATCAAATAGAAAGAGGAATAATTGATATTCTATTTTCAAGAACGTCAAACCATCTGGAGCAGTTCGCAGAGTTAGACATCGTGTCTGCTTCAAAAAGCACATCGTAAAATTAGCTCATAAGCAAATACTTAGTCTTCATCCAAACGGAGACAAATGTAATTGTTTGGAGAAAATGGCTTTTTTATGACAGAAGGTACGTACTTACAACTATCACTTCTAATTGCACGCAATTGCATACACTAGCTCTTCAGGAAGCAATTGAGTGTTACTCGACAGCGGAGTAAAACTTTCTGATCAAATCGCTAATAACAGTATAAAACAGTGGGTGAGATAATATTCAGTCTTTCAGGTGCACCACCAGAAAACGAAAATTATTTTCACGAAACAAACCAATAAAAATCAATCACTCTTTTGTATCAATGGAAAAGAAGTCTTTCCTGTAAAAAAATAAAGTAAAACAAAAGGACTGAAAAATTTAGCTGTGATTCAAAACCGTCTTGAGGTTGTTCACGACGCATCTTTTCTTGAGTCTCTGTACTAGCTCATCTACTCACCAAAAATAACATGAAGAATAATTCTTCGTCCAACGAATTCTATAAACCAGAGGAATGTCCTTATTTGGAGGAAGCGGCTTGGGGAGATGAGTTCCTGTTGACAGAAGGTACCTACAACCATCTCGTTGCTCTAATCAGCATCAGTTCTATCTCAGTTTTACCAACTGTGCTGTTGAATGCTCTGGTGATATTTGCTGTCGTAACAAGGAAACGTTTGCAAAATAAAACGACAATCCTTCTGGCGTGCCTGGCTGGGGCGGATTTTTTGACAGGGCTGCTGGGACAGCCGATACGAATAGCGACAGAAGTGCATCGAATATTGAAAAGGGGGACATTTTGTAGCACTTTGGAAAGAGTAAGCACGTTATCCTTAATATGGCATAAGTTCGCGACCTTAACTCATCTTGTGTTAATAACTGTTGATAGGTACATTGCTATTAAAAAACCATTAAGGTATCGAGATATTAGGGCCATTTATAAGAGGAAAAATAAGACGCGTCTTAAATAAGACGCGAACTTTCCGTATAAACGGCACATTTCGTCTAAAATAAGACGAGTCTTATTAGATAAGACATGCTCTTATAAATGGTACAGTTCGCGTCTTATTTAAGACGCGTCTTATGTAAGACGCGTCTTATTTTTCCTCGTATAAATGGCCCTATTGTTACAATACGGCGAGTAACCGTCGCTGTGTTTTCAGTGTGGATTTTTGCAATATTTGTGGTAATATCAGAAGTTATCCTTTCCGCAGTAAATAGTGGCGCAGACATGCGGTATTTAACCATATGGGACTTAGTGCTCATTACTGTCACCTCGATTTTCATAATTTCCATCATAGGAATGTACTCGTACATTTTCTCGGAAACCCGACGACAACAAAGATCTCAGACTGAGCATTTAAGCGCAGAAGAAATTGCTACAATCAGGAGAAACAACCGAGCGGCAAAAACCCTCGGAATCGTCCTTGGTACGTTACTTGCGACATACCTGCCAACAATAATATTCATTATGATGTATTATTCAGTGAAACGATAACGGCGTGTTTTAAACTGCATCGCGAGTTGGGTGGGCAACGTTGATGATGTTGGGTGCCCTGTGCAATCCCGTTGTTTACTGTTGGCATAAGGAGGAATTGCGCCAGGCATTTTTTGGAAATTCTTCACTTAAGAAATCCAGAAAATAACTAGTCACAAGAAGCGATAGAGGTGCAAGTCATTCAACCAGCTCGCTAACATAAAAAAGTTTTAAAACAAAATGACTTTTTTGCTGACTAAGGTCCTCTTTTTAATTGAATACGTGGACAGGAGACGCGAACTATTTTAATCCGTCAGTCTATCAATAACTTAATTCAGTGAACACTGATGCTTTGTAGACGAAGGTTTTTTCTTCTAAATACAACTTTTTAAAAGCAAAATCTATTTGTTGTTGTAAAATGTTAGCCTGTGAACGAGGCTCTCTGTTTGGGGAAGGGGTGAAAAAAATCGCGAGGAGAGGAAAGGGAACGGATAAGAGCCTGTAGACAACCTCCTCGCGATTTTTTCACCCTTTTCCCAAACAGAGAGCCTGTTCACAGGCTAGTAAAATACAAACCTATTTGTAAGTCTAATAGCTAAACGCACTCGCTGTTAAGAGACAACCCTGTAACAAATTCTTGAAGAAATTCATCAGGCTAGTGAAGTTAAACAGTCGATTTAAATGTTCTTAAAACATAGCCAGTCTTAACGTCATATTGATGCTATGGACATCTATGTCCTATGGACACAAGTGATCTCCACCCCCAAACCAGGGGGGAGGGGGCGTCTACAGAGTGACTTTGCGCGTTTATCGCAATAATTAACACCTTCAGAAGCCTATTTAAGGCTTCTGACACTTTTAATGTTTTTCAAGTTTTGATAAAGATGGCTGACAGTCATCGAAACTGTCAGTATCACTAGGACGTTAAGACTGGCTATATTTTAAGAACATTTAAATCGACCCCCTGTTACAAATTTTTCCTTGCAATTGTTCATCCAATGTTACTGTGAACCTAAGTAACTGTCCGAACAATAAAATAGAATAAAACGGGCTATACTCCGATTTTCTTCCGAGTATTTAAGCCCAGTTCATGTCTATCGAAGCTCCTGGGCGAGTTGTCAATGAATGTTTGCTGAATTAATCGTCAATCTTTGAAGCGTAGGGTAGCAATGCACAAAACGCCTGGCGGTTTGGTATCTAGCAGTTGCTCGTTAAATCGAAGTTGAGGTGAAAAGAAAATACCAGATATTGAGTTTGTAGTAGCCAAAAAAGACCGCTTTATCCACTGGGTTAGTGGGTACTGTATACTGAAGGAAAAAGCCAAATTCGTTATCAATATACACATTGTGCAATAACAAAAGGACAAAGAAAATCAAGTGGCATTGTTTCGTCCGCTGATTCAACCTCGTACACACGCATTCTCTTCTGGCTTTTTGTTCAGCGGGGCAAAAAAAAGCCAGAAGACTATGGGTACGAGATTGCCGCTGATTAAGCTGCAGGTCTGAAAAGGTAAAAAATATNGGGCGTCTACAGAGTGACTTTGCGCGTTTATCGCAATAATTAACACCTTCAGAAGCCTATTTAAGGCTTCTGACACTTTTAATGTTTTTCAAGTTTTGATAAAGATGGCTGACAGTCATCGAAACTGTCAGTATCACTAGGACGTTAAGACTGGCTATATTTTAAGAACATTTAAATCGACCCCCTGTTACAAATTTTTCCTTGCAATTGTTCATCCAATGTTACTGTGAACCTAAGTAACTGTCCGAACAATAAAATAGAATAAAACGGGCTATACTCCGATTTTCTTCCGAGTATTTAAGCCCAGTTCATGTCTATCGAAGCTCCTGGGCGAGTTGTCAATGAATGTTTGCTGAATTAATCGTCAATCTTTGAAGCGTAGGGTAGCAATGCACAAAACGCCTGGCGGTTTGGTATCTAGCAGTTGCTCGTTAAATCGAAGTTGAGGTGAAAAGAAAATACCAGATATTGAGTTTGTAGTAGCCAAAAAAGACCGCTTTATCCACTGGGTTAGTGGGTACTGTATACTGAAGGAAAAAGCCAAATTCGTTATCAATATACACATTGTGCAATAACAAAAGGACAAAGAAAATCAAGTGGCATTGTTTCGTCCGCTGATTCAACCTCGTACACACGCATTCTCTTCTGGCTTTTTGTTCAGCGGGGCAAAAAAAAGCCAGAAGACTATGGGTACGAGATTGCCGCTGATTAAGCTGCAGGTCTGAAAAGGTAAAAAATATTCTCCGCTTTTTGACCAGCTGCCAGGCATTCTAAAAGAGGGGGGAAAATTTGTTCTTTCTTATAAGGAGCTGTAATCGATAATGTCTCTTGTTATTATTAATTTTTTCAGTACATTATAAAAAGCTTTGTTAAGCATTTTTAAGAAGATCGCCTTAAATCAATAAACTTATATACAAACGAGATGGCGCTAGAGTGAGACTCACACTGCACAGGAGCAGCATTTCTTAGATTGCCAAAGTTTTACTCTCTATAGTTGAATAATACAATTGGCAATCAGCATTAGTGCCGATAGAAAGGCGGATAGTCATAACAGGCTACCCAAGGGTTATGACGGATGAAGGGGATGAAGAATTCCTTCTCAATTGGATCTTCAGTACCCACCACGCACTTAACAAAAAGACTTGGTAGAGACACTAAGGAAAAGGTAGCGATAGAACACTGGAAGCTATGTAATCAAAATTTATTTGAAGTGTATGTTGAGTAAGTAAAATCATTTTACAAAGCTCAGTTTTCTCTTTCTGACCATCTGGGTCTTGCGTTGTTTTAACACACGCACTCGTGCCCAACCCTCCTGAGTTTGAAATTAGGCCGTGTCTGAAATAACGAACGTCTGCAAAAGCGGCAGAGGTCTGGTACATAGTCATACATCCAAGCGCAATATGACAATGCGAAGCATTAAATAATCTACGAAACCAGCAAAAGAGTGAAAAAAAATTGCCCGATTGCAAGGAACTTGAATTGAGGGTTGGGTTGTCTGCCCTTTGAGGACATGAAATTTCAATTTCAACCTGTCACAAGCCTGGCAGCATTTAAAATGTAAATTGTCCTGACAGTTTCTTCTTTGAGATCGAATAGCGTTAACAACTTCTTAATGGACAGACCTCCATAAAATAGGCATTTAGAATTGTTGCCTTTCATCTCCTCATTTTCATTGAAATAGTGTTTGCACCTATGATGCCCGATTTTGAGAGAAACTGAATGGCTCACTCTTCCAGCCTGTATTAAAGACCCCAAAAAAGCAGAGGGAAGGTATAGGCTAAAACCACCTTCTCTGTCTCCGAGATTTTAAAGTCAAATTACACATTATATGTTTGTTTCAACATTGTTCAAGTTATCCAAGACTTCCCTCAAGCGGTCCGTTTCGATACATAAATATTTTTCAGCCGCGTCAAAAATGTTAGAGTCTCCATGAACATCCGTCCATTTCTCCCTGGCCGCCTCTTTTGACGACTTACTAAGTTGATATCTGAAATGAGGTTTCTCATCAATTAAAACTTCCCGTAAGAGCTCAGCAACTTTCTTTAAATCAAGTTTTTTCACTGATCCCTGCCGTCGCATTTTCCCAGAGCAGGAATCTTGGTATTTTTTTGTTTCGTCATCTGCGTTTTCCATTTTTGAGCGGATCGAAACTTGAATGGTCTGCGCTGTCTTTTCTTCGCCTTTGATCATGCTTGTTTCGATAATGGAACAGCTGTGGAGAGAAAGGTAAGTTACACTAGAAAAGTAGGTTCTTAATTGCGGGGTAGTACCGTATTGCTTTAGCCAATCAGAACAAAACAAAAACAGGCCGGAGATGACTGAACCAATCAGAGGTGGTAGTAAACACATATAATTACCCGGGAGCCAAGCACATGAAAGCACGTGCAACCAAGTGGCTTTGGTTGTGATTGGCCGATAAAGGAGAAAAAGGTTATTTTTAGTCAACAACTCTTTGGTGATGAAACTTCGTCTTAACAAGACGCCTAAAGTCGTTTCCGTGGGATGCGTTGGTCTATGGAAGCATAATGGCGTTCTATCTAGGTTAATGGAACAAAACAAAACAAAACATCCGCTTGCTTTATCCAGGGTCGAACCCAGGGTTACTAAGTTCGATAAAGTTCCAATGTTTTAATCCAAGATAAAAGTTTAATATTCCAAGATGCTCTTGATACGGTTAAAAATTAATTGCAATGTGTTTCCAAGGTCTCAAAGTTAACATAGTTCCAATGATTATCCCTGATTCCAAGGTATAATAAGTTTACTCATGTCCTGATCCGTGTCCCATCCAGAAGTCCAATCCATGCCGAAAGCGAGTCGTCGATCGACGAGGACAATATTTTCGCGATTTCAACGCCAATCGTCAAGGGTACGAGTTGAAATTTACGCGATTTAACCTACCATCGTCAAGGTGTTTTCGATAAGAAACGAAACTCTAGCTGTGCACGGCAAAACCTGGCGAACTCCGAATAGAAAAATCTATCGTAAATCATGGCCCGCAACCAGACTCTACTAAAACATTATGAAAAAGCTAGACCTAAACAAAAAAGAATCATGAAGGAAAGAAATAATTTGGCTTAGGTCGCCTTTCGTGACTTGCCAGTATCCCGAAGGATTTCGCTGGTTAACAAGCCATCCTAAACCGTTCTGATTTCAACGGTTCTTCAGAGGATGCAAATCGATTAAAAATCGATACAGATTTTGTACAATCTGATTGGTTGGCTTGGAAGAAGAGATAATCGATAAAGATTTTACGCAATCCTATCGGCTGGCTTTGCAATTTTGGGTACAACCGAACCGGATTTTTACCGTGGGAGTGCCACAGGCATTCCACGGAACTAGGCTTTTCCCTCAGAAATTAATTCGGAGCATTGTCGGCTCACTGCTCCAAAGACCTCGGAACGAGGTCGCGCGATACCAAATTCTAGGCGTCAAAGGTTTCGTCAACCAGACGGGAGGCATTTTCCCTTTAAATATGCTTTGATGTTACCAAATTTTTAATGGCTAAGTCTTTTTTTCTGATTTTTCTATAGCAAATTGGGCAAAACCACCGCTCTAGAATGCGGAAACCCACATCCGGATGACTTGCTCTGCAGCGAACACACCTTTGTTTACGATCAAATAAAGGGACTTTAAATTTTTCAGTTTATATTAGCCTGGGTACAGACACCCCCAGGGGAGGGGGGCGTCTGTACACCGGCTAGTCTACATCGCCAAAGGCAGTTAAGACACGACGAGGTTTTTTATGTGCATGTTAAAATGACCCTGAAATGACTGACCAGCAACGAAGCTCTCAGGGGCCAGCGTTAATCTTTTGATCAACTCGGCTCAAAACTATTTCTCTCATTCAGAAGGTAGTTCACTATTACAACGTAGGCAAAGAACATGGAAACGCGGTTATGAGGGCACAAAATGAGTGTATCTAACCCGACTTGTCCGACAGAAAGCTAGATGGGGTCCATGCACGTACGGGATATTCATCAGCGAGAGCCCCAATGCACTTACCGTTCGAAACACGTCCAGAAACATTTCAATTCGGTTGTTCTGATTGGCCAAAAGTTCAAATGTCAGAAGCAGGAAATCAAAATGCTTCCTAAACTGGCCGGTTAGGATTAGTTGCTCAAGAGATTTCCCGTTCTCCCTTATATAAACTACACTGAATAATAATAAGCGCCGGTGAAGGGGGCGTTTTCGAAAGTCCCGTTACCTTTAATTTTCGGGCTCGAAACCAAACTTAGAATGAGTGCTAGCTGTTGCTAGCTCACAAAAAAATAAATTCTTTAAGGAGGGTGAGATGACATGCAGTCTTTCAGGTGCACCACCACAAAAAGAAAATTATTTTCACGAAACAAACCAATGAAAATCAATCGCTCTTTTGTATCAATGGAGAAGACGTCTTTCCAGTAAAAAAATAAAGTAAAATAAAAGGACTGAAAAATTTAGCTGTGATTCAAAACCGTCTTGAGGTTGTTCACGTTTATTTGGAGGAAGCGGCTTGGCGAGATGAGTTCCTGTTGACAGAAGGTACCTACAACCATCTGGTTGCTATAATCAGCATCAATTCCATCTCAGTTTTACCAACTGTGCTGTTGAATGCTCTGGTGATATTTGCTGTCGTAACAAGGAAACGTTTGCGAAATAAAGCGACAATCCTTCTGGCGTGCCTGGCTGGGGCGGATCTTTTGACAGGGTTGGTGGGACAGCCGATACGAATAGCGACAGAAGTGCAGCGAATATTGAAAAAGGGGACATTTTGTAGCGTTTTGGAAAGAGTAAGCACTTTATCCTTAATATGGCATAAGTTCGCGAACTTAACTCATCTTGTGTTAATAACTGTTGATAGATACATTGCTATTAAAAAACCATTAAGGTATCGAGATATTGTTACAACACGGCGAGTAACTGTCGCTGTGCTTTCAGTGTGGACTTTTGCAATATTTGTGGCAATATCAGAAGTTATCCTTTCTGCAGTGAATAGTAGCGCAAACATGTACAATATTTATTTAACCATGTGGGAATTAGTGCTCATCACTGTTACGGTGTTACCTCGATTTCCATAATTTCCATCATAGGAATGTACTCGTACATTTTCTCGGAAACCCGACGACAACAAAGATCTTAAACTGAGCATTTAAGCGCGGAAGAAATTGCTACAATCAGGAGAAACAACCGAGCGGCAAAAACCCTCGGAATCGTCCTTGGTACGTTACTTGCGACATACCTGCCAACAATAATATTCATTATAATGTATTATTCAGTGAATCTAGAACGGCGTGTTTTAAACTGCATCGCGAGTTGGGTGGCAACGTTGGTGATGTTGGGTTCCCTGTGCAATCCCCTTGTTTACTGTTGGCGCAAGGAGGAATTGCGCCAGGCATTTTTGGAAATTCTTCATTTAAGAAATCCAGAAAACAACCAGTCACAAGAAGCGATAGAGGTGCAAGTCATTCAACCAGCTCGCTAACATAAAAAGCAAAACAAAATGACTTTTTTGCTGACTAAGGTCCTCTTTTTAATTGAATATGCGGACAGGAGACGCGAACTATTTTAATCCGTCGGCCTATCAACAACTTAATTCAGTGAACACAGATGCTTTGTAGACGAAGGTTATTTTCTTCTAAATACAACTTTTTAAAAGCACAATCTATTTGTTGTTGTAAAATATTAGCCTGTCTGACGGGCTGTCTGTATGGGGAAGGGGCGAAAAAAATCGCGAGGAGAGGAAGGGAAAGGGTGAGAGCCTGAAGACAAACTCCTCGCGATCTTTTCACCCTTTTTTTCCCAAACAGAGAGCCTGTTCACAGTACAGGCCAATGAAATACCGACCTATTTGTAGTCTGAGAGGTAAACGCTTGGCTGTTAAAAGACAACCTTGTTACAAATTTTTCCTTGCAATTATTCATCACAGTGTTACTGTGAACCTAAGTAACTGTCCGAGTAATAAAATAAAATAAAATGGCTTATACTTCGATTTTCTTCCGAGTATTTAAACCCAGTTCATGTCTATCGGAGCTCCTGGGCGAGTTGTCAATGAATGACAATCAATCAATGAATTAATCGTCAGGCGTTGAAGCGTAGGGTAATAACGCACAAAACGCCTGGCAGTTTGGTATCTAGCAGTTGTTCTTTAAATCGAAGTTGAGGTAAAAAGAAAATACCAGATGTTGAGTTTGTAGTAGCCAAAAAAGACCGCTTTATCCACTGGGTTAGTGGGTACTGTATACTGAAGGAAAAAGCCAAATTCGTTATAAATATACATACACATATAGCAACTAATGGAAGAGTTCCTATGAAATACAATTGAAAGAAAAAGATACCACAAGGGGAAGGCCAAATAAGGCGATTCAACTTTCTTAAGAGCAAAAATCAATTTAGTGTTTCAAAAAGTTTGAATTGTATTTTTCCAACTAAGGAACACATTGTGCAATAACAAAAGTACAAGGAAAATCAAGCGGCATTGTTTCGCCCGCTGATGCAACCTCGTACACAAGCAGACTCTGCTGGTTTTTTGGTCAGCGGGGCAAAACAAAAGCCAGAAGACTATGGGTACGAGATTGCCGCTGATTATGCTGCAGGTCTGAAAAGGTAAAAACTATTCTCTTTTTTGACCAGCTGCCAGTCATTCTGAAAAAAAGGGGGAAAAAATTTGTTCTTTCTTATAAGTAACTGTTATTGATAATGGCTCCTGTTATTATTAATTTTTTCAGTACATTATAAAATCGTATAAGCTTTGTTAAGCATTTTTAAGAAGATCGCCTTAAATCAATAAACTAATTACATACAAAAGAGATGGCGCTAGAGTGAGACTTACTCTGGACAGCAGTAGCATTTCTTAGATTGCCAGAGTTTTACTCTCTATAGTTAAATAATACAATTGGCAATCAGCATTAGTACCGATAGATAGGCGGATAGTCCTAACAGGCTACCCAAGGGTTATGACGGATGAAGGGGATGACGAATTCTTTCTCAATTGGATCTTCAGTACCCACCACGCACTTAACAAAAAGAATTGGTAGTGACACTAAGGAAAAGGTAGCGATAGAACACTGGAAGCGATGTAATCAAAATTTATTCGAAGTGTATGTTGAGTAAGTAAAATCATTTTACAAAGCTCAGTTTTCTCTTTCTGACCATCTGGGTCTTGCGTTGTTTTAACACACGCACTCGTACCCAACCCTCCTGAGTTTGAAATTGGGCCGTGTCTGAAATAACGAACGTCTGCAAAAGCGGCAGAGGTCTGGTACATAGTCATACATCCAAGCGCAATGTGACAATGTGAAGCATTAAATAATCTAAGAAACCAGCAAAAGAATGAAAAAAAATTCCCGATTGCAAGGAACTTGAATCGAGGAATATGACTTGAGGGTTGGGTTATCCGCCCTTTGAGGACATGAAATATCAATTTCAGCCTGTCACAAGCCTGGCAGCATTTAAAATGTTCTTTAAGGTAGAATAGCGTTAACAACTTCTTAATGGACAGACCTCCATAAAATAGGCATTTAGAATTGTTGCCTTTCATCTCCTCATTTTCATTGAAATAGTGTTTGCACCTATGATGCCCGATTTTGACAGACACTAAATGGCTCACTCTTCCAGCCTGTATTTAAGACTCCAAAAAAGCAGAGGGAAGGTATAGGCTAAAACCACCTTCTCTGTCTCCGAGATTTTAAAATAAAATTACACATTATATGTTTGTTTCAACATTGTTCAAGTTATCCAAGACTTCCCTCAAGCGGTCCGTTTCTATACATAAATATTTTTCAGCCGCGTCGAAAATGTTAGAGTCTCCATGAACATCCGTCCATTTCTCCCTGGCCGCCTCTTTTGACGACTTACTAAGTTGATATCTGAAATGAGGTTTCTCATCAATTAAAACTTCCCGTAAGAGCTCAGCAACTTTCTTTAAATCAAGTTTTTTCACTGATCCCTGCCGTCGCATTTTCCCAGAGCAGGAATCTTGGTATTTTTTTGTTTCGTCATCTGCGTTTTCCATTTTCGAGCGGATCGAAACTTGAATGGTCTGCGCTGTCTTTTCTTCGCCTTTGATCATGCTTGTTTCGATAATGGAACAGCTGTGGGGAAAAAGGTAAGTTACACTAGAATCATTGCTAAGCCAATGCGCATACTACCTGTACATTTCTTACAGCATAGCCTAAACAAACCACCAAACTACTCAGCCAGTAAGGACCTACATTTTCCCAAGTTGGCCTGAACAGGTTCTTACAAAAATGGTATTAGCACAAATTTAGGCTATTTGGGTTTGCCACTAAAACTGATTTAAAATTACTATAATAAGAACAAGTAAGGCACTGATCACATGAATTTCGAAGCTCTCCTTCAGAGTCACACATTTATGTTTTACATAAAAATAAGAGCCTGTTCCAAACTTTGGGCTGAACAGGTTCTCGTATAGAGGGGGTCTAAATGGCAAATCGTAGCCTAACAGGTTCTCAAAACCTAGGTTCTTAATTGCGGGGTAGTACCGTATTGCTTTAGCCAATCAGAACAAAACAAAAAAAGGCCGCAGATGACTGAACCAATCAGAAGTGGTAGTAGCACATATAATTATCCGGGAGCCAAGCACATGAAAGCACGTGCAACCAAGTGGCTTTGGTTGTCACTTGTGATCGGTCAATAAAGGAGAAGAAGGTTATATTTAGTCAACAACTCTTTGATCATGAAACTTCGTCTTAGCCAGGCTTTTCCCTTAGAAATTAATTCGGAGGATTGTCGGCTCACTGCTCCAAGCCGTCGGAACGAGGCTGCGTGATACCAAATTCTGGGCGTCAAGGGTTTCGTCAACCAGACGTGAGGCCTTTTCCCTTTTAATATGCCTCAATGCTACCAGATTTTCAATTGATGTCTTTTTTTTTCTGATCTTTTATAGCAAATTGGGCAAAACCACTGCCCCGGAGTGCGGAAACCCACATCCGGTTGACGTGCTCTGCAGCAAACACACCTTTGTTTAAGATCAAATAAAATCTTGGTAGGAGGGAGAGGGACTTTAAAATTTCAAGTTTACATAAGCCTTTGCACAGACGCCCCAAGGGGAGGGGGCCGTCTGTACACAGGCTAGTTTATATTGCCAAAGGCAGTTAAGACACGACGAAGTTTTTTATGTGCATGTTAAATTGACCCTGGAATGACTGACCGGAAACGAAGTTCTCAGGGGCCAGTGTAATCTTTTGATCAAGTCGGCTCAAAACTATTTCTCTCATTCAGACTGAAGGTACTTCACTATTATAACGTAGGCAAAGAACATGGAAACGTGGTTATGAGGTCACAAAATGAGTGTATCTAACCCGACGCGTCCGACAGGAAGCTAGATGGGGTCCACGAACGGGATATTCATCAGCGAGAGCCCCAATGCACTTACCGTTCGAAACACCTCCAGAACCATTTAAATTCGGTTGTTCTGATTGGCCAAAAGTCCAAATGTCAGAGGCAGGAAATCAAAATGCTTCCTAAACTAGCCGGTTAGGATTAGTTGCTCAAGAGATTTCCCGTTCTCCCTTATATAAACTATACTGAATAATAATAAGCGCCGGTGAAGGGGGCGTTTTCGAAAGTCCCGTTACCTTTAATTTTCGGGCTCGAAACCAAACTTAGAATGAGTGCTAGCTGTTGCTAGCTCACAAAAAAATAAATTCTTTAAGGTATAGTTTTGTTCTGTTGCTTTCAAATCTATCAAAAGACTTTCAAAACGCTCGATTTTTAATGTAACAGGTTAGCAAAGATTGAACAGCTCCCCGAGACCAGACCCCTTTCCCAGTGACCTATAGGGTGCTTTTAAAAGCAACGACGACGGCGACGGNACTGAATAATAATAAGCGCCGGTGAAGGGGGCGTTTTCGAAAGTCCCGTTACCTTTAATTTTCGGGCTCGAAACCAAACTTAGAATGAGTGCTAGCTGTTGCTAGCTCACAAAAAAATAAATTCTTTAAGGTATAGTTTTGTTCTGTTGCTTTCAAATCTATCAAAAGACTTTCAAAACGCTCGATTTTTAATGTAACAGGTTAGCAAAGATTGAACAGCTCCCCGAGACCAGACCCCTTTCCCAGTGACCTATAGGGTGCTTTTAAAAGCAACGACGACGGCGACGGCAACGAGAACGGGTAAAAGCAATAGGTTTAGATTGGCAAATTAACAACTCTGCACGTGCATCACGCGTTTTTGTACATTTCTTTGCCGCCACTGCACGACTACGACGTTAAAATGACTAATTTCACGTTTTGTCGGGGACGTAAACACAAGAGAACGACTTTCTTTTTTCTTTTCCTGAACAGTCTGATACAGTCTTTTAGAACTAAACTCCAGAAAAATCAGTTGGCAACATTGACGAATAGAACGAGATGGGATAAAGCTTGAAGTAGGGCGAGTTCACTTTTAAAGTGACGTTAATTTTTGTAGCGTTCGCCGTCCTTATTGTTTAAGCTCCCTAAAGCCCTGGTAACTGAAATACCGAGACCTGTATTTCAATTCAGTTACCAGAAAGTTCGAAAAACGGGTCAGAGGTCTCCGTGGATAGAAACTGCCTATAACTGAGAAATGCGGTCACTTACTAGATGTTAAACGCCAAACATTCTGGTGCAATACACTCCATAAATCCTTCTACTGCAAACTTGGAGGCACTGTAGATTCCGTGGAAAGGAATGCCTTGAATTCCAGCCTGGTTACTCATGATAATGAGGCGGCCATCCCGCTGCTTTTTCATTAACGGTAGAACAGCTTGAACAAGTTTTATGACCGAAAAAGTGTTCACATCAAATATCGTCTTTGCTTGGTCGACGGTATGTGTTTCTAGCTGGCCATTTAGTAGGACATTCGACGTTAACACTGAAAATAGAAAAAAGAAGAGAGAACCCATTTTTTACAGACTAATGGCAATTCAAATTTTAATTTCAAAAGGAATCTGATGACTCAATTTGTTATTTGCACAACATTGGTATAGTTTCCGTGTGGAAGAAAAAAAAGACAAGAAAGAGTTAAAGTAAGCAATGAATCAATATTGCTAACCTTTAAAATTGTAAAAATCATGTCCTAGTTCTAAAAATTCACCAAAAAACCGCAAAACACCCCTTGATGACATCTGTAATCCTACCGTTAATACCCGGTACTCTAACTTGAATTCAAAAGCGTATCATTGCAGTAGTAAAACGACAAAATTTTAGAGTTAGAGACACAGTAGTCCACCGACACTATACATTATTCCGTGCTTTATGATTCTCATTCTAAGTGAATGACCTAATTCAGGCTTTTACCGATCATTATGACAGTTATGAGGGGTTTGAAGAGGTGTAGCGGCGAGCGTATGAAAATCAAACAGGGGCTCAGTTGACCGCAAAATTTGTCAAAGCATTGAAAGCTGCTTACAAACGTCACTAATTTAAATAGAAAAATTACCTTCAAATTACATGTGGAAACACTGTTTATTGACATCCGAAAAATAAAAACACCGGCCAAACAAATGTCGCGAAAACGAAAACGTGCGCGGGAGATCGAATCGGAACGGAAACGCGGCTGTTTTTGCGTGACCTCGCCCTAATGACCCAGATTAACAGATTACAGATTGTAAATAATTCAGAAATAACTCTTTTTAAATATAAATGCGTTGAGCTCTCTAACTGAATAGATGAAATCGCGATTTGGTGAATAAATTTGAGTTCAATCACCACTTTAAAATAAATTTTTCAATTTTACATGATTTTATAAACGGCCTCTGAACAATTCATCAGCCGGAAACTAAAGAATGTAATAGGACTTTCTGGTTGAATGCGTGCCGAAAATATTTTGTCTACCTTATGTTTTCTTATCTTGCTACCGAGACTAAAAGAAATGGAACGAAAAACAAATAGCTAGGACCTGGAGAATAATTTGATCGAAATGCAGCAATGAGGAAATAGATTGTTCCACTGGCGAATGGAAAAATTCCGAGTTGAAGAAGTCACACTGCTGTCAGACAAAAATGGAAACAATTTCCCAGCAACTTTAAATGACTGCATGCAGTTAATTACCTCATGCAATTTAGTTGTAACAACAAGACTCTTTATTTATCCACCGAGGGAATATAAATGAAATCGATTTTGCAAGCACACGGGAAAAAATCGCGCGCGCGAAAATAGAGTCCGAATGTACAATATTTTAAAAACTCACCCACGGCATCTATGAATCCGTCGTTTTCCATGATCTCTCGGAGAACCCCTTTGACCGATTCATCCGAATCGACGTCCATTTGAAGGACAAACAGGGTCTTGTTCAGAAGATTTAAAACTCTTGAATCAGCCAAGTATTCGCTGCTAGCCAAGGACGGCATTGTAACAAGTACTTTAAATTTGCCAAGAGGGTCTTCGGCCAGGTGAAGGGCAAACGAAAGATTCATTTTGTGTGAATAGCCCGTAAAAAGTACAACTTTCGGACCAGATGTTTCTTCTTCCTTCTGGCTATGGATACTCTTCCTTTTGGACTTAACAGAACTTCGCTGTCTTTTAAAACGACTCTTTACACCTCCCATCTTCACTAAACCAGCCTTAAACCGCGGTAAAGCGGGGCTAGTCAGCTTTCTTAGTTATTGTATGCACTTGAGTACAAGACAGATGCCCCCTGCGGAGTTAAGGGTGTGATCGAATACAGCTTGTTTTTCTTTTCCTTGACCATCAAAGATAAAAAACACTACGTTTTAAAATGGCCCAATAGCTTTGCTAATGGCCAATTGTGCAAAACGAGAAATGTCATTGAACAAGGGTTCCGTTCTCTTTATGACTTTTCCGCGCTGAATAGAATTGTTTACAAATACTTTAACTCGTTGACACTGCCAATGCGTCAAAATTAAAATGAATGTAATCAAGAAGTCTTTAATTCGAGAACTGACGGGAAGAAGAGTAAGGGTCAGACTAGTCACGCAGTGGTAAGCTCATCTTTAGAATTTCAAAAAAGTCCTTCCTCCAATTCAATATGGCTCGACTTCTCGCGACTTCGTCGGTCGCTTGGCCGCTTCACAGCCTAAGAAAGCTCGCTTCGCTCGCTACGAAACTCGTGAGGTCGACTTGAAACAAGTCTAAAGTGAATTCTGAAGGTCAGAATGCGCGATGACCACCTCATAGCGCAGTGAGGAATGGGTCTGGAACGGGTATTCCCGGAACCCGGGATTTGACGAAAATACAGTGCGGAATTCGAGAAACATTAACGGGATACAGAATCGGCTCCTGGATACTAGGGTTTTGACTGCTATCTAGGAAGCAGGATTCGCCAAAATTTGGGCAAGGATGCGGGAATGGGAAAGAAAACGATATTCGGGATAGCGATAAAAAAAGTTCAGGATTTGCGAGAATGCAGGATAGGAATTCCTTTTCAATCTCAGACCCTATTAGGACAAAAGAATGTGGCCATTGTATAGTGATGGTACAGTTTAACATCCCGGGGGGTACTCCCCTATAAAAGTGATGGGGTTGCTCGTCGTACCTTTTAGGGGTTAAAATTTGTGGATTGGTAACGCTTAACGGTACTAAAACCTAAAATGACTGATTAGGATAAAGATTTATGGCAATACCTTCAAAACGTCCTTGAGAGAAGTGTTTAAAAGTTATCTTTATTACTATTAAAAGTGGCAGTGCCAGTCAGGTTATATAATTTGTTGTTGTTGAATTGGTACCTCTTTGGGGTGGAAAGGATGGAATTTGGGACACGCCCGTAAAACAAGATTCTGGTACCGTTAGTATTCCCAAATTTTCCGACGAACACCTCCGTCACTTTTACAGGGGAGTACCCCCGGGCTTAACCCGGGACGTGGGACAGATCAAACCCTCCGGGTCCAGGGTCCAGGGCCCAGTGGGGAATTATTTAAAGTGGTCCTGTACTAGGGGATAGGGGGACCCAGGGAGGGCGGGATGAATCGAAAACTTGATTACTTCCTAGCTTTGAAGAAACGGAAACAAACTCCTGGCAGTCTCACAGTACGACAGAAAACAACTAAGGCAATCTGCCTTGCTCAAGTTATTTCCCTTGGAAATAACCGTCAAGGAGATGTGAGATAAGGTCTCATTACCCAAAGCCTGCCGCCAATCGTGTCTATTGCACTGGGTGAGCTCCTTGTTCTTTGTGTGTTTAAACCCTTTGTCCCATTTTGTTATAAGATCAAAACCAAAGCCCACAGGGCAGAGAAAAACTTTTCCATTGAAGTCCCCTCTTATCACAAGCTACGGATCGGCGCCTTCCCTCCCCTTCCCTGCCTGACGGTCTGGATCAGCCCCATCCACCCCCCTCTGTCTCTAGGTCTAGATCAGCGCACTCTCCCCTAGTTTATCGCTAGGTCTGGATCTATAATTGACTCCTAACTGCAAAACCGTGGGTTTGTTTTGGAATAGTTTTCATTCTTAGAACTGGTAATACGTTTTACAAAACTTTTTTCATCGCCGTAATTTGCAGAAGAAAAAGGAATCAGAAAGTACCATCTTTCAATTCTAATGACAGCTGTTGCAGGGACACCAATACTTGCTCGTTACTTTCAGGACGAAAATGGCAAGAGTAAGTGGAGTGCTAATTGAATAGAGATGGAAAGCACCGGGTCTAGTTACGATTTCTATTGACAATTATTTTCCTTTTTTCAATATGGCCTCACGCCTGCCATCCAGGGCAGGTCCAACCTCGTCCCCATAGGAGAGGCGCCCGCCCGCCCGCCCGCCCCTATTTTCTAAAGGAAACGTCTTGGGACGAGGTTGGGGTAGGTCCGGCAGAAATGCTGAAGGAACGAGTCGCCATAATAGAGTAATGCCATTTTTGGTAGCCTGTTCCAGGTTTCCATATGGTTAGAACGAGTTGAATCGTACACGGAGAGCACAATGGAAAAACATGGGAGAAAAGGTCTACCCCTTAGTTTCTTGCCTTCAGAACCTTCATTTCTCCATAATCATTCTACCACCCAACATTCGAATTTTTCAAGTTTCTTAGCAATTTCTACAACAGATAAGCCAGTAAATCGAAGTATACAGGCTTATGCTCTCACGCAGCTGAACGTTTTTGCGTTAAGGGGGTTTATCTTTCGTGATATTCACAAAAAACAAGGAAGGAGTTCGAGCAATTAAGGCTATGAAATACATAGAGGATATTACACGGTGGCGAGAAGATATGAATTTTATGTTCGAGTGGCAAGAACAATATCTCACGAGTGAGCGAAGCGAACGAGTAAGATATTGTTTTTGCCACGAGAACATAAAATTCATATCTTCGAGCCAACGTGTAATGTTCTTTTTATTATATGGAGAAACCAATTCAACAAAAGCAAAAGGCGGGAATCGTGACGTCATTGAACGATACGACACTCACAAAGGTGACATACGGAAAATACGCCACTCGGGTCCCGGATGAAGTGGC